CGCATGTTTTAAAGTTATGTGCAGCAGTTATAACTCATGAATATGTATTCTCCCAAAGTAATCTTTCTTGTGGATAACCACTTAAGGTTGAGATTGTGTTATAGACAACGATATGCAATTATATAAAAATAATCAAATAATCTGAATAGTAAAACTATTATACACTTTATTATACCCCCCTGCAACAAAGTAAGGTGGTATACTGGAAGCAGCTTGTCTGTCTGTCTGTCTGTCTGTCTGTCTGTCCGTAGAAAAAAGATTGTCCGGACAACTCCTTCTAAAGTAATGGACCAATTTCAGCGAAAGTTTCCAGATATGATAACTACTACCTCAAACTATGCATACAGGTATTATGTTTTCATTCTGATCCTTTTTTTTTTACAGAGTTAATGCCCTTTGATGAAAAATTCTTGTCCAGACATGTCCTCCAAAACGAAGGGGTCAATTTCAAAGAAAGTTTTCAGATATAATAACTTCCACCTGATGGTGTGCATCCAGGTAAAAAATATATTTCAATATGATCCTTTTTACGGAGTAATGGCCCTTTGTTGAAAACTACTTGTCCTGACAACTCCTCCAAAACTATGAAGCCAATTTCCACGAAAGTTTACAGATATGGTAACTGCCCCATGCCATAGTGCATCCAAATAGTATGTTTTCATTCCAGACCTATGGATTGCGTTGCAATGCTTTGCCTTAGTTGGCCTTTAGCTTACAGTTAGCTAACAGTTCTGGGTTATATAGTTGTGGGGGTGAGTGTGATGACTGGGGTGGGTGGGGTGAGTGTGCTAACACGGGTGGGTGGGGTTAGTGTGATGACTGGGGTGGGTGGGGTGAGTGTGATGACTGGGTGGATCAGACAGAGACATATAAAGTCATACGTCTCTGGATCAGACTGTACTGGAACAGTTCCGGGTTTTTATACGTGTCTAGTCGGAGTTTCCCTGAGCTTCAAGTAAATGAAAACTTGAAGACAACATCAGTGCTGAGATTATCAACAAAAGTAAGTACTCGTTTAGATGATTTATAACTACAGTATTATATATTCGATGAGTGATATATTAAAGGCAATATGATTCAAATCGAACGGAGAGAAGGGTTTGAGGAGATAGAATTAGCTAATATTAAGGATCCTTGTACCACTGCACTGCCAGAAACTGTAACTACGCATAGGACAATGTTTTATTTGTCGGCAGGACTATAGCTTTTATAAATCATTTTTGAAAAGAAAAATATACCTTGTGTGACTTAAATGAAAAATACACTTGTAATAAATATATAATAAAAAATATAACAAATAAATGTTCTGAGTGTAAACATTCAGCGAGGATAGACCGGGATCCGAACCCTTGACTGGGGTGGGTGGGGGTGGGTGTGATGA